CTGCAATATTAATTACCTAATTTGCATAATGATTAATCAGTAGTAATCATCACATTTTAATGAAATTTGGTACATAGATGTCATAGGACACTGCACAGACCTGATAGTTTTTAGGGTAATAGTGTATATTAATTTGCATAATTAATTTTCAGCTATTGATATTTTGAATAGTAATCATCACATTTCAATGACACTTGGTACATAGATGTCGTAGGACACTGCACAGACCTGGTAGTTTTTAGGGTAATACGAGTACATATTAATTACCTAATTTGCATAATTAATTTTCAGCTTTTGATATATCAAGTAGTAATCATATTTCAACGAGACTTGCTACATAGATCTTCTAGGATTATGCAGAGACCTGATTAATTTTAATTGGATATTAATTACCTAATTTGCATAATGTTCCACTGATATATATAGAACCACAAATTGGATTTTAATGAAACTTTTAAAGAGAACTATGCAGAAACCCAATTAGTTTTTGGTAAATATTTATGCTTATTAATCTCCTAATTAACACTGATATCTCAATTACTGATCATCACATTTGAATAAAATTTGGTACATAAATGCTCTAGGACAATAGACAGGCCTGATTAATTTTGGGTTAAAATTTGTTCATATTAATTCAATCTCTAATTAGCATAATAATTCATAATTTTTTTGTTCTGTTCTGTTCTGTTCTGTTCATATTAGTTGCCTGATTTACATAATTAGTTTTCAGCTTTTCCATCAATATCTCATGTACAAGTAATTTTGAATTAATTTTTAATGTGTCTTCAATACTCTCAGCACACAGGAGTTCTTTCTAAGCTTTCTTTGATTGTCCATGGTAAGGGTTAAATCACATTTAGCAGGAAAACAAATTAGTTATTTTGTCAGAAGGGCATCTTGTGAATAGTTAAGTGGTAATGGTCCATGTAAAAGAGGAAACTGCAATAAAAAAAAAATACACTAATAAATCTACAGATCTCAGTATGGTGGAACATGCATGTAAAATAGTTGTTTTTGATCACCTTTAAAGTATACAACAATATTAGTTCACCCAGGGCTATAGCCAGAAAATATAATCTAAAATCTATACTAAGATGCAAGATATTAGTTACTGGTATGTATCCTCAGACTTGTATTTTTGACTTTCATATGGTTTAATAACTGTTCCACTGATATCTAAAGAACCAGTCATTTAATTTTGATGAAACTTCGTACATAGATGCTCTGAACTAATTCGCAGATTTGGCTAGTACTAGTATTAGGTAAAAATTTGTGCATATTAATTACCTAATTTGCATAATGATTAATCAATTTTCAGCTTTTCCACTGATCTCAATTACTAATCATATTTCAATGAAACTTGGTACATAGATGTCAGGACACTGCACAGACCTGATAGTTTTTGCATAATTAATTTTCAGCTTTTGATATCTCAAGTTGTAATCGGCACATTTCAATGAAACTTAGTACATAGATACAGAGATCGATTGTTTTGGATTAAATATTAATCACCTAGTTTGCATAATTAGTTGATTTTCAGCTTTTACACTGATATATCAAGTATGAATCATCACATTTTAATGAAACTTGGTACATGGATTCTCAAGCATATGCAGAGTCTAGATCAGTTTTTGGATGAATATTTGTGCATTAATCACCTAATTTGCATAATTAGTTAATTTTCAGCTTTTACACTGATATATCAAGTATGAATCATCACATTTCAATGAAACTTGGGACATGGATCCTGGAGGACTATGCAGAGACCTGATTTAGTTTTGGGGTAAATAATTATCTAATTTGCATAACTAACCAATTTTCAACTTTACTGATATCTCAAATACTTTAATCACATCTCAATAACATTTGGTACATAAATGCTCTAAGACAATAGACAGACCTGATTAATTTGGGGTTAAAATCTGTACATATTAATTACCTAATTTGCATAATTAAATCAATTTCAAGTTTTCACACTGATATCTACAGTACTAATTATTCAATTTCAGTGAAACTTGGTACATAAAGATGCTCTAGGACAATGGGCAAACCTGATTAGTTTTGGGTTAAAATCTATTATTTTCATAATTGGCATAATTTATTGGTTCTAATCACATTTCAATGAAACTTGGTACATAGATGGTCTGTTACATTGTCTCTTATCTCAAATACTCTCAGCACACTGGAGTTCTTTCTAAGCTTTCTTTGTTTTAGTTATGGCTATTTTGTTAGGTTTGTAGAAATTTAGCCTATTAAATTTTGTGCCAGTCTAAAATGACTAGTGGCTGGCTAAAAGCCTGCCCAGGACTAAATGATAGTCTGCATATTCAATTAGTTTTTAAGTTAAAATAATGCAAAACCAACTCAACAGTTCCATTTATCGTATACTGCATCATAATAGCATTATAAACAAACCTGTGTAATGTGCAATAACATACACTTATTGTGTACATAATTGCTCAATTTCTGGATGTAATGAAATTTGGTACATTAAGTGCTTTTGAATTGGGTCAAACATCTAAAAACTTTGGTTGAAAAAAGGTTCTCTTCATGAGCAATAACATTTTCAAAGTCAAATATCTCAAAACGTGCTGTGTCATCTTCTGGCAACTGCCCTCTATCAGCGTTATTTTTTTTACTTCAAATTAAATGTGCCCTCTGTGGACCATTTGTGAGAAATGTCTTTGTCAACAGAAGACATGAAAACCTAAAAAAAAAATCAATTTTCCAGCAATCATATATGTTTTGTGATAAAGGTGTTCTTGTGCACACTATTGTAGGAAGTGACACAAAACTATTGATAGTGAGAGACTTGCCCACTCAAGATGGTGCTGTATTTGCCATTTTGCCGAAGTCACTTTTTTTCATAATGCCCAAAGTTTGCTCGACGAAACTGGATCTTAATAGTGTTCCTTGGGACCTGGACACAACCCCATAGCCATTTTTTCACTTGCAAGTGATTTAAATGTACAACGTTGGTATATAGTATTTTTGAGAAAGTTATTTTTTATTTGATGGCTGCCATTTTGTCAATATTGGCCAGTTTTATTGTTAGTTCCTATGAGGGAACGTGCTGAATCTCAAATTGTTGGCTGGTAACATTGTGAAAAAATTATTTGTCGTGACTGACCTCGAAAGAAGGATGGATCACTCACTCAAATCTGATTAAAATGACACAAAGCAAAAATGTTTTACAGTTTCATAGCTGCTAAAAACTCTGTATATATTAAGCTAGTAAACCCAAAACTGAATTATGTGTCTGGCTTGTCCCCCAGTCTTTTGTTGCAACAAATCCTAGGTACGACCGTGTGCTTATATTAACTGTGGACACATGAATTACGCGTTATGTCGATAAGACAGACCGGAAAAGAAGAATAGTAAAATGAGCACATGTACAGTTCCGACAATTTTGCCTTAAAGGTCAGGTGTAGATAAAGGTTCTTATCGCTTAACTTACAGTATCCAGCAGAAGATTGACTTGGGTTAAGTGATTATAGTGCTCTTTGTTAAATTGTCTGTAGTCAGAAATTGTATTACTGTAAAATACTTTTAGCTGGAATTAATTTTCGCTGAAAATACATTTTGGCTGTTTTGTATGGAATTTATTTTCACTGATTTTTGTCAAATTGAATGCAAGATATAGGAAGAAAGGTATATTCACTGGATTATATTATGAATTCCAATCAAAAATAAAGTATTCTACAGTATATAACAAGTATTAAGATTATGATAATATAGTCTGGGGGCATGTATTCCTGTATACCACACCCCTCCGACAGAGTCCAAGTGATACAACTGATCCCTTTCATAGACAATGAGGCTGAGTATGGTGGTACATAACACAAGAGTGTATGGTAAATGAAAATAAAAACTTGAGAAAGAACTCTCATGTGCAGAGGATATTAGAGGTATGAAGAAGTACAAATAAGGAATATTTAAAATTAATTGCACATTTAAAATTAGCCTTTTTTTAAGGCTAATGATATTTTCGTTTTTTTGTGAAAACCATAAGCTTTGTCACTGTCAAAGTGTGCATTTCTTTGTATAGTTTAGTTGTGTGGTATGAATTTGAATAAATCTTAGATAGTCTAAGTACATACGTAATTAGCTTTCAATAGGAGACTATGCGCTATTCGATTTAGCTTAGTGTTAATTACATATATTCACACCACACTACTACTGCGTTCTACCATAGACCCTCCAGTAGACTGGATCTATGGTTCTACAACTACGAGATACTATGATTGTAGTTTCTGGCTTGGTTTCAAGAACCCACACAAGTTGGAATATCTGCATTATTTGGCATTAACTGGTTCACACTAGTCTCATCGCAATTTTCCGGCCAGTTTATGCAAACTAATGCAGTGACCTCTTGACAGGAACCTTGGGTGGACCTCTCACAGATTTTTATATTTCATTTCTTCAATTGTCTAATGGAAATGTGCATTGTTAACAGCAGAGCTATCTCGGCCGAGATGCTGCTTGTTAATACTATTACATAAAACAAGTCATTGTTAATGATATAGTCCCCGTTGGAATTAGGGGAAAATGTTATTCATGCCAAAAATATGCACCAAAAGCATAGTTAATAATTAAAAATTAGATGTATTAAATGACTCTTCCATATCGTAATATATGGTCAGAAATTAAACAGGATATGCTATTCATGCATTTTCATTTGTCCAGGCTACAAATGTACAGAGATACGAAACAAATCTCAACATGTATAATGTTTGTATCAAATTTTCAAAAAAACAAACTGACATGAACATGTATTCCTACTTGTATATTAGTGCCAAATACCATTGAAATTGGTCTCTAAAGTCTTAGAGATATAGTAGTATAGTCAAAAAGCAAGATGACCGCCAGTCAGCCATCTTTGATCTAAAATGTACAATTTATGTACCAAAACAAAAACATGCATAAGATACATTTTCAAAAAACCGAATGGCTGCCAGTTGGCCATCTTCGATTCAATCGTAAAACGAATCATCATAGACATGTATCCTAACATGCATGCACAAGATACCAAATTTTCAAAAAACAAAATGGTTGCCAGTCAGCCATTTTGGATTGATTCAGTAAACCACTGCATGTACATATGTCCCGGACAAAGTATTGGGCACATGCAAAGAATGAACAGATTTGGTCTAAAGGGTTCTGAAATGTGGCACTGGACGACGGAAGGACGGACAGAGACCGAATTATATTAACTTCGTTCGAACAGGGACTAATAAGGATTAGAGTAGATTGTATCTATAGTTTACATATGTGTACCAAGTTTAATCTAAATCTAATGACTGGCTATTTTGATAAATCATAAAATTGCCTAATTTATGCAAATATTTAATATGCATGGATTTTAAACATGAAGCAATCAGGTGCATGGATTATCAAAAATTATATATCACGTTTTTTTAAGCTTGATGAGTAGTACTAGAGATAATTTATACAAAAAATTTGTACGCACAGAATTCAACCCTAAACTAAACATGTACATTAGAGAAATAAAGTATCATGTTTCATTGAAATCTTGATGCATCATGGTTTTTCAGAAAAGTACATAATTTATGCAAATTAGGCAATTAACATTTTACAGTATTACATCTTCATAACATTACCAGTACATGGAGATTCACAAATGGTGATTCATCACTTAGTGGAAAGGGTGGGTGAAGAGCGGTTAAATTTAAAAGCTGTTGACCAGTATCACTTTTATAGCACCAAAGTCGTGTAAACAAATTGAGATGCAGTGTACAATCCCGGGGAAAGGACTTGGTTGAATGGGGCTTAAATTTTACCCCTAAACAACTACCCCTATCACATAATAGGCAATGTTTACGTAAGGACCCAATTGATTTGTTGGAGACAAAAAAATAAGAGGAGGACACAAAGCATAAATAATTAATGAAATAACTGAAGAAAACGTAGTTTCATTTCTGTTATTGAAAAGCATTTGAAAGTGTCTTGATATTTTTACAAGAAAATTTCCCATAAAGTGTGTCTGATATTTGAACATGGCAATTTTTATGTAATGTGTCCAGCTAAATGTTTATCTCAAGTACAATTTTTTGCAGAAACTGCTGTGACACCTTGTTTTCATAAACCCCCCCCTCCCAGAATTGTAAAATTACACTATTTCACTTAACATCACATACAAATTTACCACAATCAAGGACAATCCTCTTTTATTTATTTTTTAAGCAGACACTACCATATGTCGTCATATGCAGAGAAATACATTACAAGACAAATATAAAGTTTACAATTTTCAATAGAAAAAAACAAAAAAACAAGCATCAATACAAGGCAGTGAATGACATTTGAATTACAGTAATTTGTATATTATGCCGTGGTATCCATAGCAACTGAACTGTTCAAAAGTCTGAAACCCTGAAAATTCATTGATCAAATGACATGAATATTTAATTCTCTGATCCCTCTCCCCTTACTTTTAAGACCCAAAATATCCATTTCACGTACTCCTGAACAAATTTCTGAATGTAATACTGAACCTGATGCAAATATGAGAATTGTAATAATTTTATAATAGCTTGTGGAAATAAAATCAGTACCATACACTAACTACACGTCTACCAATTGTTTAAATCCAGAAATTTCTCAGAATATTATGGTTGACATAGCAGAGAAATACACACATACAGTTTTGAAGCAGTTATCAAGAGATATTGGTTAAAATATGAATTTACCATGATTGATTAATTTTAAATTTACTAATAACTTAAGGAGTCATTTTAGGAACGCTTATTTTTTCAGTTTTTTAAGTCTCTCATCAAGGCTGGCACAGTTCGCCTGGATGGCAGCCATGTTGGAAGCGAAGGAATCTTGTAACTGTGAAGAAAAATATTAGACAAAATGTTAGTGACATGTTAATTACATATTGTGAATGACATAGCCCCCGTCAGTGACTATCAAGTCAAAAAGAGCAATGAACAAATTCTTTAATGAAAGTAATTGATTTACAAGGTAACTTTTTGTTTGTATGGGCGAGTGTTTATGCTGGAGATGGGTGTATAATGTGGGGTAATATTAAGTTGATTATACACTGTAACGTCCACCTGTGACAACTTCAATATATTATGTGAATATTGGTAACTAAACCAGAAACATGTACATATTTATACAAACACAATCAGTTGAGTGTAATTGGCGAGTCCCACCTCTAGGTAATTGTCAACATGTTGCAAGTCAGAAGCAAATGTTTTGTTGTGCACTGCTCGGATATTTGACCTCTCCTTGTTTTTGTCATTATCTCAAGGTGTGCAAGTCACTAGTGCATTACTATTACTGTAAAACCATTTATTTTCACTGGCATTTAATTTCACTATTTTGATGTTTTGAACAATTTTATGTTCACGAAATTGACATGTAAACAATGAGTTCTATAGTATGTTCACATGGATTTAATTTAGCGGATTTTACTTATTGGCAAAAATATCGAAATTAAAACCCAGTTAATAATTAATGCATTTACAGTAATCCACAGACGAATAAAATTCCATTTGAATTGACTTTTTTACCTTTTTCATTGTAGAATATTGTGATTTCAAACTTGATGATATCTGCTGTTGAGTGGTATCCAAGTGACTAAGTGCCTGACTAAACTGTAATGCTGAAATAAACCACAACAAGCCAAAATTTAATTGACGATGAGCACACAACAAATTTGGGGTATCTAAGCTACATCTAATTGTCGTCACCAGGAGCTCACCAAATTTGATTTTTTTTGTGATTAACTACCAATTAAAACATATCATCAGATTTCTTTGACTTTTATAGTATGGTTTTATTTGATTTATATTGTTGATCACAGAAACCTGATAGAATAGATGGTCAGCATAATATTTTGTGCACAATATATGGGTGAAAACCCCATAAAAATTGTAAAAAAAATTGTTGAGCCGTTGAGCCATATCTCAAAATTTCAATCAGTTACGTTGTGAGAAAATCATATGCTGGTATAAGATGGGTACCGGTACTCTTGGTATCACACATAAGGAAATTCTCATGAAATAATGCTATGGAGTTAGCTTCAAAAAGTCTCATTTTTGCATACATTTTTTCTCCAAAAAATATTTTCTACTGAATAAAAAAGCTCAAAAGTTGATGATGACTTGTGTCCAAATCAACGATTATGTAACTCTTTTAAGACCAAAAACTGTGATCATTTAGAAATGCCTACAAATAACATTACAAAGTGAATTTAATCACAATGGTTGACTCTTGTGCCTCGTTCCTGAACCAGAATTCGCTGAAATCCACGATAATGCTTGAGGCCAAGTTTTTTGAGCACTTTTATCAGAAACCTTACTGGTACTATAAATCATGAAATTTTGACATAAGGAGTTATTAATATTCTGTCAATATACCTTGGTTGTGCAGTACTTGGAGAGAGTTCAATCTTTCCACAGTCTTTGGTAAAGTCTCTGCTATACCATCCCATCTTTCCATCATATCGTATAATTCAGATATCTAATGAACAATAAAAATATTACAAATTAATAAACAATCTATAATCATTTGTTGTTGATTTTTACCTTTGAGCTTTTTACAAAAATTATTTGACAGCAAGAGGTTCAAAGCACAGTTCATCAATTTAAATTACTTTCACTTGATAACACATCATCTCTATAATCTTAACTTTTAGATGTGCAAAAGCAATATATTGTGGCGTTTTTAGGACTACGTTATTTCATGTGTCAGAATACATAATTTTGTAAGTGTGTTATATGTCACCTGAAAACCCCAGTGTACTGGGGTAGCTCAAAATGGTGGAACATATACAACAGTAAGTAAATTGTTAAACCTTAAAATCTTGAATGTTCTGAGTGTTCCAGAGTCAACACATGACAATGAATAATGATAATCAGGGAATAGAAGTGCCATACTTGTCCTATTACTTTTATTAATATCGAATGGGTCATTAAAATACAACTTATTTTGACAATACTGTAAAATGACTAATTTTCACTAGGTTTGAAATTCGCTTATTTACCATTTCAGGCATATTTAATGGGTTTTAAATTCACGGTTTTATCATTTAGATAATGTGTTCTATGCTAAATTTTACATATTCACTAGGTTTTAATTTAATAAAGCGCATTTTCCAGTCAGCGAAATAAGCAAAATTAAAACCCAGTGAATAATTAATCCCTCTACAGTAAACATACTCTGTTTGATTAATGTAATAGCATGAACTAATAAAGCAAATTCAGTAATACAGATGATGTACT